GTGCGGTGCTGGAGAATATTCAAAATTTGGAAAATTTAGAGTTCGAGGAATTAAAAGCGAAATTAGAATTGCGTTTTGGAGAGGCGCATTCTTTACAAAATTACTATATGCAATTTACGAATAGAAAGCAGAAATTCGGAGAGACTATCGCGGCCCTCGGTTCCGATATCGAAAGGTTGGCTCGGTTGGCTTATCCGGAATCGTCTGATACGATGTGCGATAAGATCGTTTGCGCGCAGTTCGTTTCCGCCCTCTCCGATAATTATTTGAAAAGGACATTGCAGCTGGAGGGGTTCGCGTCTCTGAGACTCGCTATCGAGAGAGCGAAGACAATTCGTTTGATACAAGAAAGTTGTTTTGGAAAGAAAAACGAAAATAATTTTAATTCAGAGAAAAAAAAAGGAAAAAATTTTAACGGAGGGAAAGACGACGTTTGATACAAAAAAGTTGTTTTGGAAAGAAAAACGAAAATAATTTTAATTCAGAGAAAAAAAAAGGAAAAAATTTTAACGGAGGGAAAGACGGACAAGACGAGACTGATACGAAAGAGGAAAATAAAGAAACAAAGACGAACAAAGATAATAAAAATAAAAAATTCTTTAAGAATAAAAATGATAAAAGAATCGGTAATAAAAAAGAATGTTGGGAGTGTGGCGGAGTGGGTCACTTCCGTTCGGAATGTCCTGGAAGGGCGGGGATGGAAAACACAGATTAGTCGAGCTTTACGGGGTCGGCTCGACTGAAAGAGAAAATACCCCGAGAAATAATAGTTCTATTTTTAATTCTTGTCTTTGTCAGTCTGATAATAAAATATGTATTTACGATACTGCTAACAATGATTCTTTCAGGCCGAATAAAGTTAAAAATAAAAATAATTTTAATAATGATGTTCAATGTTTCTGTTATAACAATCTTGATCTTTGTACTAATCAATCTTTTTCCAGATTGGGTAGAATTAAATTTTAATTCGGGAAAATTTTGTTATAAGGGTGAAGCTAATGGGAAACCCTGTGTTTTTAAGATGGATACGGGCTCCGATATTTCGATTATTAATAAAAAATTTGTTGAAAATAATGGGCCAGTAAAAATAATTAATTGTTACATCAGATATCCCACGGGGGAGCACGTTTTGTTTAAGTATGGTATGGTTGTGAAGGTTCAACTTGCGGAATACTGTTTGGAAATTTCGATGCTAGTTGCAGAAATAGATGACGATTGCATTCTTGGGGTCGATTTCCTAAAATTATTCAATTTGCAAAATGTTTTTGATTCGGTTTTTTTTGACTCTGAAAAGTTTGTCGGTGGAAAATGTTCTCGTATTAAAAGTTTTGCGGTTACGAATTTTCCATCTGAAATTTCTACAATTTTTAAGGAAGGCTGTCAGCATTTATATGATTCTGAGGAAGAAAATTTTTTTGACTTTCTTAACGAATTTCGCGATACGTTTTCAAATGATATCGTTGCAGGGAATTGCAAATTGGGGGAACATGTTATTAATGTTAAAGATTCTTCTCCTATTAAACAGGCTCCCCGATGTGTTCCCTTACAAAGGAGAAAGGAAGTTAATGAAATTTTAAAAGAAATGAGAGATCAAGGTGTAATTGAAGAATCCAATAGTCCATGGTCCTCACCAGTGGTTTTAGTTAAAAAGAAGGATGGAACAACTCGATTTTGTGTGGATTTTCATAAAGTGAACGCAATCACAGTAAAAGACTCATATCCTTTACCTCGTATAGACGATATCCTCGATCATTTGGCAGGTAATATTTGGTTTACTACCTTAGACTTAAAAAGCGGGTATTGGCAAATAAAGATTCGCCCGCAAGATAAAGAAAAAACGGCCTTTTCTGTTGGTAACGGTTTATGGCAATTTACGGTTATGCCCTTCGGTCTTTGTAATGCCCCAGCAACATTTGAACGCGTAATGGAACAAATTTTAAAAAAATTTCTTTTTAAAATTTGTTTAGTTTATCTGGATGATGTAATTATTTTTGGAAGAAGTGTTGAAGAAATGCTATCGAATTTGAGAAAGATTTTTCTCCGTTTTAGGGAAGTGAATTTGAAAATAAATCCTAAAAAATGTGTTTTTTTTTAGTAAAGAAGTAAAATATTTAGGTCATGTTATATCGGCAGAAGGTGTTTCTACAGATCCCCAGAAAATAATGGTGGTCAGGGAATGGCCAGTTCCGCTAAATAAAAAACATTTGAGGAGTTTCTTAGGATTCTGTTCTTACTATCGCAAGTTTGTTAAAGATTTTTCTTCTCTAGCCAAACCGTTATATGCATTAACGGAAAACCAAATTAAATTTGTTTGGGAAGAGAGGCATCAAGAGTCTTTTGATAACTTGAAACGGGTTCTTTCTTCTCCACCAATTCTGGCGTTCCCTAATATTGAGGGGAAGTTTATTCTTGACACGGACGCGTCAAATCAAGGAATTGGAACGGTCCTGTCACAGGAGCAACATGGTGTGGAAGAAGTCATTGCATATTTCAGTCAAGTGCTAAATAAGGCCGAGAAAAACTATTGTGTTACGCGTCGCGAACTTTTGGCCATAGTACAAGCGGTGAAGGCTTTTCATCATTATTTATACGGGCGAGAGTTTCTAGTGCGTACAGATCATATTTCTCTAAAGTGGCTCATGTCCTTTAAGGATTTAGAGGGACAATTGGCACGGTGGGTAGAAAGACTACAGCAATATGATTTCGTAGTAGCTCATCGTAAGGGAGTTTCCCATAAAAATGCTGATGGTCTCTCGAGATGTCCTTGTGCCGATGATTTCTGTCATCATTGTACCACGGTGGAATTTAAAGACTTTACTAAGCAAGAAAATTTAGTTGGGCGAATTATCTTAATGCAGAGAAATTCCGAAGAATGGCGTAAGGAGCAATTAGAAGATTCTTCTATTTTTTTGTTTTTATCCAGGAAAGAGGCTAATAAAGAACGCCCAATGTGGCAGGAAGTGGCGGAAAAGGATATTTTCACTAAAATTTATTGGAGTTATTGGGATATTTTGGTTGTAAAGGATGGTGTTCTCTTCAAGAGATGGGAGGCTCCTAATTTGAAAAAGACGATTTTCCAACTAATTGTTCCTAGAGATCGTGTCAAGCAGATTCTGGAAGAAGTACATGATTCTCCTATGGGAGGGCATTTTGGTGTCAATAAGACACTGGATAAGTTACGTAAACGTTTTTATTGGGCGACATGTAAGCAAGATGTTGAAGAGTGGTGTAAGTCTTGCAAAATTTGCACAGCGAGAAAGGGTCCACCAGGGAAAGGAAAATCCCCTTTACAAGTTTATAATGTGGGAGCTCCTTTCGAAAGAGTTCAGATGGATGTTCTCGGTCCCCTGCCTGTAACTTCTTTTGGAAACAGGTATTTATTAGTTGTGGTAGATTGTTTTTCGAAATGGGTCGAGGCGATTCCTTTAAAGAATATTAGATCCAAAACTGTTGCAGAAACATTTTTAAATCAGATTATTTCCAGACATGGGGTACCTCTCGAAGTTCATACCGATCAAGGGAGAAATTTTGAATCTCGGATTTTTCGCGAACTTTCGCATACATTAGGATTCAAAAAGACGAGGACGACCCCTCTGCATCCTCAGTCGGACGGACAGGTGGAGCGCCAGCATCGCACTATTTCTGACTATTTGGCGAAATTCATTGCCGAAGATCAGAGAGATAGGGATAAATGGATCCCATTATTTTTATTAGGCTATAGGACTTCTAGACATGAGTCCACCGGAATGTCTCCGGCAGAACTCTACCTTGCACGAGATCTTAGGTTACCGGTAGATTTGTTACGCGGAAATCCTCCTGATATTGAAAGATCAGATTCATTAGAGAGTTATTCTAGAAAAGTTAGAGTGAAACTGGGAGAGATCCATGAAAATGTGAGGAAGCGTTTAAATATAAAGTCTTCACAAACTAAGTCTTGGTACGATCAAAAAGTCAAACGGATTTATTTCGAAGGACAGCGAGTTTGGCTGTATAACCCTCGAAGGATGAAAGGAAGGACTCCCAAGCTGCAGTGTAGTTGGGAGGGCCCTTATTGTGTGATTAAAAAACTCAGCGATGTAGTTTATTGTATCCGCAAGTCGAACAAACACAAAAATAAAGTTGTACATTTGGATAGACTGGCACCTTATTTGGAGAGACATTTAGTTTAGTTTAAATTTATTAAGAATCTCGGAGCCTTCGTGCCTTTGACTAGGATCTAAATTGTCCTGGGTTTGTAACAAAAGCTTCGCGTAATTATTTTGTTAAGTTTCAGATAGCGCTAACATCCCAGGGCAGACGACTTTCGATGGCAAAAAAACTTTCCTTGGGGGAGGCAAAAGAGACAACCCTTACGGAGAAATCGCTTTTTGTGTAAAGAAGACCGCCTCGCTCACGGTTTTTTGAGCCGTGGTTTTTACCGTGGGACGCCGGGCGAATGCCGAGGCGAGGACTGTGGGGCAGAGGTACTGCGGCGAAATTAAAATCTTCCCCCCCCTCCAGTTCGAAAAGCGAAGAAACAAGAACGCAAGGCTCAAGAGAAGAGGCAAGTGGATTCCGGAGTTTCCTCCGAGAAGATGAGGGGATGCCCGGTGAATGTTCCTCCGGAGGCGTAGCTAACCTCCGAGGGGGGAACTGAAGAGGGGTCCTTCTCGGAAGGAAGAGAGAACTCGGAAGCTCTCGAGCTCGAAATCCCAGGAAAACCAGTACCCCGGAAAACTGTGACGGCAGCACAGGAGGGGGTAGGAAACTGGTAGGGAGTACGAAATTCTCATTGAAGGAAGCCTCAGCGTTACTTGATTGAGCAATTGTCGGGACGACAATTTTCAAGAGGGAGGGCAGTGTTACGTGCCCGAATCGTCACCCGCTAAACTACGGGATCGACCGTCTCGAATAGAAGAAGAGCGCGTTGCCTGGCGATGGACGCGCTTCTGTTTTACGATTTTGAGAGAAGCTGTCGAAGCTGACGGACGAGTTTCTCTCTCTCGGAGTTTCTTTTACGGTTACAATTGTTCTGTGTTCTCTGTTCACAATAAATATCTTGTTTA